ACCCTCTGTGTTTCAGATGTACCAGTGTCTCTCTGCCCCCGCTGACTCTAACACGACAAGAAGAAGGCTTCAAGAACTGGATGATGAACTTTTTACTCAGTTAAAGGCACTGGTTCCTCAAGACCATCAGACTCCCACAGGAACTACCGACAGCACTAACATCACGGACGGTGAAGGAAAGAAGTCACTGATGCACAAAGCCGACAGCCAATCAACACAGAGCTCTACCACATCTAGCAAATTAGATTATTCAAATGTGACGCCCCCTCATCTGAACCCTTTTATTGTGCCGCTGACACTGTTAAAGCGTAGACAGAATCCATAATTATTTAGACGTTGTTGTAGTGATTTTTAACCCATTACTGAGCTTTCAGCTCATCACAGTATGTTAAGTGTCAAAAGCTCCTGCTAATTGATTTTCTTTATTTGTTTGAATTACGTGGGTCCTTATTTCAAACTTTCGAACTGTATCATTCATGCAAAGCTGTTCTTTCAGCTCATTATGTTAGTACAGTTAAACAAATGCATTTGGGACATTTAGCTTTTTCTTTTTAATAGAAATGTTTCCTGCAGATAACTCTTTGACGTTTTAATATAACTAAACAACACTTCCAAACAGCACTTTCAGATCTTTCATCTATGAGAACGGCTGAATGTAATAAAACTATATTAAGTATACCCTCGCCTACCCAAACCCTTTAATTCAGGTGTTCCGATCACTTCCACGAACACAGCTGTATAAAATCGAGCTCCAGGCCTGCAGACTGGTTCTACATTTGTGAAAGAATGGGTCGCTGTCATGAGCTCAATACATTCCTGCGTGGCACCGTTACAGGATGCCTGTGCAATGCTGAATATTCCAGTCTGCCAGTAGTATAACAAAGTGAGAACCACTGGGAATGAAAGCCTTCAAATGAGCTTGAGAGCAGCACGTAGACGGCTTCATTGAACAGGTTTCCGTGGCTGATCAGCTGCATCCGAGCCTTACATGAAAGGTTTTGGATGCAGTGGTGTAAAGCACTGGACTCCAGAGGACACGCGTTCTCTGGAGTGACGAATCACACTTCTACGTCTGGCAGTTTGGGTACAGGAGTGTGGATTTGGGGATTGGAGAACAGCGGACCTGACTGAATTATGCCTGCCTGTTCAGCAGCTGCTGGGACCTGGAGGAGGAAGAGCAATAGATATGCAGCTCATTCATTGGTAACTGTTACCAATGAACAGTTCTGTTCAGCACTGTCTACAGAAAGCATTGTAAATAAAATATCAGCATATTTTGATAAATGCAAAAAAGTACAGGAAGTTGGAAACATGTAATTTTATTAAGTAGACCTGGGTTTGAATGGTAGTGTCACAAATGCAAAAAATCCATGATATAAAAAATGACAAATGAAATTAATACAATGGATATTCTGTCTGCACAATTGTTTGAGAAATGTTAGACAGTTAAAAAAGTTCAATAAACCATTTTACCGAGTTGTTAAAAGAAGGAGGTGGAGATGTGGGCCGATGGTGAAATTGTTCTGTTGCATGTGTATGAAAGACCTACACATTCTTGTGAATTTGTGTAGCCAAGGGCACCCCCAAAACATATTCCCTAATGTGGTTGGAACCTGATTGGCGTCTTGCACATGCTACACTCACAGTTGGATACATTTTTGCTTGTCTGTAACTAAGTACTCTCTTAAATTGTATCAAACATTGTCTAATACAGAACGAGGATGTGTGAGTATTCTCTAGACAGCTGCCAGAATTCTTTGGGAATTTCCATTTTGAGATCTTTATCCATGTTAAT